CTTCCCACTCTTAATTAATGAAAGATATTTTCTACTTCTTGAAGTGGACATGGTAAGCAGACAAGGTTTATGTTTTCTAGATTTGGCTCTTCTACACTAAATATTTTATAAATATAATTAACTTTAACTAATTAATGGTAAATAAATATATTTTTTTTCACTTTATATATTTTCTTATTTTAAAGAATCTAAATCCTTGTTTTCTTTACATGATGCTCAAGAGTTGAATGAAAAGATACCCATAACGTAGTGGTAGTGGTGTTTACTGCCACATATCAATTCTCAAACGGTAGTAGCTATATTGTTTGTACTAAACCTGAATTGCTTTGGCAATTACAACTCTGCAATATATCATAGTCTTTTCCCTAGCTATACAGGCTTTTGTAGGTCAAAATCTATAAGGGCATGTCATTTATGCCATTCAAGTTCTAGTGATGCAATGTCAAACTAGAGTTGCAATCTAAGTCAAAACTATCTGTAGGGCAATCGTGAAAGATTTAAATATAATCTTCTGTACTGAGAAATCGTGACAGATATTTATAATTGATCACCACGTAATTGTAAATAAAAATATATGTTTAAAGTGAGATATTTCTTTGATTTTTTTAAGAGTATTTTTAAGATACATATATTCCAAAAAAGACAAAAAGTAAAACAAAATAAAAATATTTATAAATAATACCACATGCTATACCAATTCTTAAATATTCAAGTAAATTTAAATACATATTAATGGTGAAGCATTACAAATTCTGGGAAAAATTGACTAGGTTTGTCAAACGTGCGGGGAACGCGGAATGCAGACCAGAAAGGCAAAATAAAGCAGTGGAAGAAGGGACGTGAATAGATAATAACGTGTAGCTGACTCCCTTCATTTTCAGTTTGTGTGGATATGTTTTAGGATTTTATTTATGTGTTAAAAAATGTTATACAAAAAGTACAAGTATGTTATATAAAAATTTACTGTAGTTTTTCATCTAAAAATTTGACAAATTAATAATCTCGTTTTTAAGCAATTGAAATGATCTAATGAAGAATATTTTCTTCTTATATCTTAAGGCACATATTTACAAAACTTATGTGTGTGCATGAGGGGGGATAAGCACATTAAAAATAATAATAACTGTTTTAATTATATTGTAATTATACATTTTCTTAATATTCAATATGAGCATAATTTTTCTTTAATTACCCTCATTTTATCAGGACAAGTGATCAGCTATAATTTGTAAATTCAAATTAAAAAAAGTCTGGATAGGAATCATGATTCATGAACAAAGCATTTAACTAAATGAGTGAAACTTCAGTGACACTGGTACATGAGTATAAGTTAGTATAAAGATGGTTAAGTTTAAGTACAAGTAAAAGTATTTGATCGTGTTCTAAAAAGACAACACAACCGGCCAACCGTCGATTTGAATCCCCAAGCAGAATTATTACTATACTTGCCACCATATGTATATTTGAAGGCATGCTTGATACACCTAAAAAAATTATGTAATTAAATTGTAAGTTTGATTTCAATATATTCTTATCTAGTAATGTGTTATTATGTCATCAAATGAGTTTGATAATATATAAAATGTTAAAATTATCAAGTAATATCGTGATATATTATTCAATATCAGTGTAGGGAACTTCATTATCATTTTATATCGACATAACATTCTGATTAAATTCTTAAATTATTCATAACTCATTCTCATCTCAATTAAAAAATGTATAAAAGATGGAATTCCAATGGGGACCTCTTTATTTTCTTTTCTCACCTTTTATTACAGAACAAACATACATTGAATTCCACTTTTTCATTTTTAACGGTTCCAATTATAGTATTACTGTTGTCATACGTACAAAACACATTACCCAAACATTGACTTCGTCCCACATTCACTTTGGTAGGTGTAAGCTGCAACTTTACCATGAAATGTTCATTTAGCTAGATGGGCCAATGTTTTATAGTTTAACACCTGTTTGGCGATTGCAAAGATAAAATAACAATTATAATGCATTGAAGGTTAAGTCGAACAATCCGTGTGCAAACCAAATCATAATAGGACTATATAATTTTCTTCTCGACAGTAAGATGAAGTTAATGCAAGCAGAAATTCATGCTCTAAAAGAATTATGAATGATGAGGCATTAGTATGAATTCGAATTAAAATTTACAATGTCCTCAAGAAATTGAAAAACTCACGAAAGTGATACGAAAGCTTTGAGAATAATTACACCTCCATATCAAAATGCCAATGTCTCTTATAATTATTTCGGTGATGTCTTTATTGGACTTTTATCATACATCTTTCTTTCAGGCCCCATAACATATCTGAAATGAACGTGTGGCCTAAACTGGTTCTTCAATGTGAAGGTGCGGAAAATATGGTAACACTTCCAACAGACATTATTAGAACTTAGCCAATGATGACAATTTTGATCTTATGAAGAAAAAGGTTACTTAACCTAAGGTGTTGTAAACGATTGATTTGATCGCTATATATTAAGTTTGGATGAATTCAATGATGAAAGCATGGTCTGGGAAAAAAAATTAATGATGAAAGAAGGAGTTTAATGTTCAATTAGTCATTCAATTTATATATAAACCAACATCAACCTGCATTATATATGTTAACATTCAAGTGCCTGGTGTCTTTGATCTATTTGGTTAGTTGTTCACAGTTCTTGAATGGTTATTAATTCTTATTATTGAACTTGTATCAATCATAATTACCAGCGTTCATTTGGTTAAGCTATCTTCCCCCGACACCCTCCTTTTTCTTTTTCATCACTTCTCAATTGAAGTATATGAAAGTGAGTAAAAGAATAAAAGGAGTTGAGAAAGTTACTGAAAAGTGATGGGTACTGAACTGCGTTTGAAGAAAGCTTTTTTTGGGATGTTTGCATATTGGATTTTTTTAATAAAAGTTAAGGTGAAAGCTTACTGTAAATTAAATGATTCATGAATAAGTTAACTAAATGATCTAGGATAACATGTTTTAAAAAGTTAAAATATTTATAATTTAATTTTTATTAAATTTTATAGATGATCTCAATCTCTTAGATAATTAAAATAAGTCCTTTAACATTTTTTAAGACAATTATCTTTTATCATTCATTTAAAATTCAATCATATTCTTTTAAATTCTTTTTATTTTTTTACTTACGAAAATTTTGTAAAAATAATTTATGAGTTCCCTAAATTTGTAAATAGTAGAGGTTAAATTGAGGAGAAATTAATAATTATAAATAATTTTAGAAATATTTTGTATCCATTTGGGTTATCTGCACTTTCAGAAATCTATTTACTGATGAAAAAAGAAAGAAAAACTTAAACATAATGTTTAGTGTGATGATAAAATATTTGTACATCCCATTAAAGATAAAACAAAATGGTTTTCTTTTGGTCAACAAACAAAATGGTTTTTAAGAAAGAGAAATAATTTCCATAATTTTGTTGGTCGTGTAATATCCATAATTTGAGTGGAAATTTTTATTGTAAGAGGAAGCCCACCCTTCTTTTTGGATCCACGATAAGGCAATCCTAACTGCAAACATTTTCTACTTATCTTTTCCTTCGCTTGGATCCCACGGGCCATACTACACTACGACACATGAGTCCAATAAAATTCCAAGATAATAATATTCTCAAAGCCCAAAACTTTCAGACAAACTCCACTTTCTTTTTAGTTTGTTATGATCATCCTTTTCTTTTGGGTCAAGTAATGATCTTTCGTCCATAAGCCCAATCCATTTCCTCTCAGCTTTATTGCGTTGACGCGGAATAGGATGGCTAAAATTCAAACTAGGCCTGAATATTTTGCTGCTGCATAAGTTTCACAAACCTTTGTATCACATTTATTAGATAGTTAATACAGCTTATTGATTGGCAATTAGTAAGGTAATTAACTGTTTAACTTATGATATATATAACAACTCATTTTGTATCACCCATTATTCAGATTCAATGAATTGTTCATCTTCTTTCTAGAACACTTTGTCAATTCTTTTAACTCCTGTCGTGATATTTTATACCAAGGTTTTTTTTTCTCTTCATTCCATACTCATTTTAATGATCTCCGTGATTGTTCTACGTTACTCATGGATCCTAGCTTAAATTGTTTGCACACGATGGTGCAACATTGTTCAATCTTTCTCTTTATAGGAGATTAATTTGTAGAGTGATGTATTTCACGATTTCATGGCCCAACATCACATGTATTGTACATAATCTTTGGCGTATATGTATGGCTTCTCCAAGTGGCTACATTGCAACATTAAAGGTTGCTAAAATGACATGCCCTCCACTCATTAATGTAAAGGAGGAGCTCTAAATTTTCCCTACATGATTTTGTTGGTTTTCAGGTACATTTTGATGTGCATAAGTTTCAAGTTTCTCAATCACATTTAAGGCCTACCTGATATATATCATGTTAACTAAGTTCATTCCAATGTATGTTATCAACTACATTAATATTGAAAGGTTTTTTGGAATCAATTACTTAATTGCTCTTTCCTTTTATGGTTGAAACAGGTACAGTGAATCCAGATATTTTCCTCAAACTCTTCTCAATATAGCAAGATTAATAGGAGATAAGTTAATGATAGGTTCCGTTTAACACAATAATAGTTTTGTGCATTCATCTACTATTATATTCAATATCTTATAGAAAAGCACATAACGTTTATATACATAATCCAAAAACAAAAATCAGATTTTAAGTAGAAATAAATCTCTTCATTTATATACATAATCCAAAAAAAAATAAAATCAGATTTTAACTAACGCACTTAAGAAACTATATTATTTGCCAAATATTCTGAGATTTATTAATATTTAATATTTAGTGATTAAATTTTACTCCTTTTATTTTTATTTTCTTGAGTTTGGAATAAAATTATTTTCATGACCTGTGGCGTGAGTGATGACAAACTTAGCGGGGGGCCACTCACTATGAAGAAACTTCCGTTTGGTCCAAAAATGAAAAATAATAAAAATAAAAAACTGAGCCTCAAGGAAGAAAATAATAGATCTCCTTCTCCGTTCTCTGTGATTGCGATTTTGATAAAATAAAAAAAATAAAAAAGGAAAAATGGTTGGTTTCAGCGGCGATGAAACTGCTCCATTCTTCGGCTTCCTGGGAGCTGCGGCAGCCCTAGTTTTTTCCTGTAAGTCCTTTTTGTGTTTGATTTTGAATTTGAATTGTTGTTGTTGTGAGGTTTGATATTGAAAAGGAAAATGATTTGATGAAAAAAACGGAACGGAGGCATGGGAGCGGCGTACGGAACGGCGAAGAGTGGGGTTGGGGTAGCGTCGATGGGAGTGATGAGACCTGAGCTTGTTATGAAATCAATTGTGCCAGTTGTGATGGCCGGTGTTTTGGGTATCTACGGTTTGATCATCGCCGTCATCATCAGCACCGGCATTAACCCTAAAGCTAAATCTTATTATCTCTTCGATGGTTACGCTCACCTTTCGTCTGGCCTCGCTTGTGGCCTCGCTGGCCTCTCTGCTGGCATGGCCATTGGCATCGTTGGTGACGCCGGTGTTAGGTACTTTTTCTACTTTTGCTTTTCTTGTTCTATCTGTTTGCTCTTTTTTTGGGTTAAATGTGAAATTGGAGTAATGGGATTTATGTTTCCCAACTTTTATCTTCAAAGCAACATTGTAGTAAGTGGGTATCTTTGAGTCACCTTTGGATGAGTTTGTAGATAAAAAATTATATATAAAATGGAATAAAATTGTTTTTATAAGTTTTTTTCATTTAACTTCTCAACAACTTAAATAAATATGTTATTTTTAATTTGTGGAAATTTTTTTTATATTAATTTTTTTTCTTTTATAAGATTGTTCTAAAAATTTTATTGGAACTAGACTTAAGTAGAATTGATTTAGTTTGAAAGTAAGTTTAAACTGAAGTGATTTTATATTTGGAAACTAGTCTTTTAATAATAAATCTGTAATAAATATTAGTATTTTTTTAAAAACTCAACGCAATAGCTTTACCATTTTTAATACAAAATTAATTTTGATTGAAAGTAACCAAATAACAATTTTTTTACAAAATCATGTTCCAGTAAAATAAACGTGATTCTATGTCAACTTCCTTGGATCCAAACATGCACTGTGTTTTTGCTTCCGGGTTTGTTTCTGTCGATTGTACGTTTTAGACTTAAAAACTACTTGTAGTAACTTCATGATGTGGAACCAATCATGCTCTATTACTATTCCTTAACAAGTGATTTTCTTTTTCCTAAAATACCTTTATTATTAAATTGATTAACCTTTTGGATATAAATTGGTTAATTAGGTACCAATACACATTCTAAAACTTAGGGGCTTTTTTGTTTTACAGTTGCAGAATCAATTCTCATACTTTCCCATGAAAAACGTGTGTTTCCATAAAAATGTGGTTTAGACTTCAGATTAATTTATGTACTGATCTCAAAATGTTCAACAATTCAAAATTAAATTTAAATCAAGCAAGCACTTAATGCCAAATTCTCAACCTAATGCAAAAGCTATGTTTTGCCTTTTGCTTATACCACATTGTAAGCTACAATATAGCTTCTAACAAGAAGATGCGCGTTTAAGTAAAGCAACTATAATAACGATCCAAACACACTCATAGTCTAACATGTTTTTTTGAGCAAAATCACGTTTACCAGAAGATAAGTGAATTTCTGTAGTGGGATTACATTTCTGTTCCTAAACATGATTGTGAGGCCTTTGGACGCAGATCCAAAGTTCAAACATGCTGGTAGTTAATTTTGGCTACTAGAAACTTTTATTTTTTAATTGTTACGGAACACACTTATTTTCTCGGTAGGATTCATATTTAGTTTATTTTGCATGGTTGCAAGTCTAGCTGTTATGACTTGATTAGCCTCTTTGGTAGCATGTGGAATATACATCACTATTTGCCTATATTGAGAGTCTCAAAATTATTTAATGCTAGCATCACTATTGTTTTTCGATATTTTGATGTGTCTTCTCTGAGAGATTATTTAATTTTGACTGGACAAATGTGTTTAAGTTCTATTTTAATTATTGAATTTGACATGCTGAAAATGGACCCTTTTTGTAGAGCAAATGCCCAACAACCAAAGCTTTTTGTTGGGATGATTCTCATTCTCATCTTTGCTGAGGCATTGGCGTTGTATGGTCTAATTGTTGGTATCATCCTTTCTTCCCGTGCTGGCCAATCCAGAGCTGATTAGTATAAAATTTCCTGTTTCCTGTAGCGCACAGAACCATGGATTGTGAATGTTACCAGGGACTTGGGCTTGGTAAGAGTGCAGCTTTGTGATGCTCTTCATTCGTTTTATGACTCTTATCTACTCGTCATAGAACTGAGGTTAACCAGAAATAAAGCCTACCAAACTATTTCTTTGGCACTATTGTATATTTAATTATGTTGATTTCAAACTAGATTAGAGATATCTGTAATAAAACATATGTTTGTGTTAATTTAAATTACGTTTAGTATTGTGTCGTATACTGGTCAACGATTAGGCGTTTTATTGGTTGTATTTGTTAAGTTTAAAAAATATCTCACAATGTCTAATAATAAAAAAAGTAATTAGTATATAAGGGGTGATATTCCATTACCTATTACCTTAAAATTTTAGGTGAAGGTGGTAATTTAACCTAATTGTAGTAACTTATTCTATGAATTATGATGAACACTTTTTTAATAAATGAAATGTGTACCCCTACTCTACATGTATTGACATGTATCATGTACTCCTTCTCGATGTTGATATGTATTATGTCAATCCGGTTTCTCTTTGCAAAGAGATCGTATCCTATTTTAAAAAAATCTCTTTTGTTTACAAAAGTAATTTAAAGCATCTTTAAATTTTAATTTGCGGATTTCATCTATCAAAACATTGTGGACATCAGAAAGTTAAAGGTCATGTTCGATTAGTTTAACTTGGAGGGAACCTGGATTGGATTTTATTCAAGAGTTTAACTGTACAAATTGCACATAAAAAAACTCACCAATGCAATTAACAACTATTTATTTCCTTTGTTACGTAAATACTTTCTATCTTTTTTTCATTACATTGGAACAGGAGGATGTGAGCATTTTTAGACATAAGGTTTAAACCATATTCATGATGCTTGTGCCTGTTAATTTTGACCATTTCCCGTAAGACTTCATGGATCTTTGTTTGTCCTGAACTTCTCTCATTCTTTAGCCCGTATTGCTTGTAGTTGTAGCCAATGTCTTGGAGCGCACATGAAGTTGGATTTAATGAATTATAACTTTTTATTCTTATATTTCCTTCATTCTAAAAACTAATATTTTATCTTGCATACCCTAGATGACGTGAATATCCCCATGCTCCTTCATTCCACCAACCTTTCTCTCCTTTTAACCATTTTTAAATTTTCTTCATTTATAATAGCTATGGCTACTCTGGCTATATTCCTTTGACTTCCCTTTTTCATCCTTTCACCAGATTGAAAACTGTAAAAGTGGGAGAAATTACATGGTGGATTCAGAGCACCCAACATCTCCACGAAGAGAGAATGATAACACCAACTCAAAATGTATTCCGAAATAGAGACAATACCTACTTTACATATTAATTCCTATTACTAACATTGACCTAGAACACTACAGAAGATGAGGAAAAGAAATCTGGTATTCGAGGTACCAGTCCTCCATAGAAGTTTAGTAATAGGCTAAAATTTTCATATCCTTTCAAATGAGTTCTTACAATTGATATAAGTAATTCTTACTCTCTAACAGACATTCACAAAAACAGAAAGAATAATGCATATTCCAACAAAAAAAAAAATTCAAATCCTCTCTCATGAACATAGGCAAAACGTAATTGCTAATAACAGAAAAAGGTAATTAAGGAACTATATTTTTAGTAAATGAATTCATTCTAGCAAGCTGGCCTTGAGATTTGTCTCGCTCTCTTCTTTATGGATTTTGATTCATTTTTTATCTTACTCTCACCAATTGGATTGTTACTGTCACTTGACCCCATTAGTACTTCCATCTATATCAAACACGTAGGTATCACATAATTGATAGAGAAATTAAGAGAAAAAATGGTTTGCATCTATACTCAATGCAGTAGCATCTCCTACAGAAATTCATAATATATACTAGTACAATATATCATACTCCTTCCTTTTTGTATGGTTGTCACTTAATACTTTTTATTTGTCTTAAATTATTTATCACTTTATAATCTAAAATATATTATTATATTTTCTAATAATATTCTTATTTCTTTAGGGTGATTTTCCCTGAATAACAATAATAACTTCAAGATTAATTATCATCTATCTAGTGCAATAGCTTCAGTACTTTTATAATATAGGTATTTTACTGAAACTGATTTTTTTTTTTATCATAGTAATTCATTATACAAATGATTTTTTAAAATGTATACATTTGTAGTGAGTGAAAATGAATATGATACGGAGGGAGTAATATCTTTCCATAGTTCTATTCCCCATCTTTGCTTCCAAATGCAATTCGGCTTCGGTGTTCTTTTATTTTTGGTCAACCCACCAGGCTCCAGTCTACGATCCTTGATACAGTGTTTTCCCATCAGTGATTCTAGATGAGACCTGACATCCTAAATGTCTAATTTGATTTTTCGCTGATTTGCCTCGTTTCTAATTTCAAGATTTATTACCCTTCCTAAATGTGAGTCTACAATTTTAAATGCCCTTTGGCCCTCCCAAAAGTATAATTCGGTCTCGTCTTCAATCTCCTAAAGTAGTTTGGTTGTCTCCAATTCCGGATGTATTTGGGCTCCACAAAATCTCTAATTGCAGACGTATTTTGCCAACTTAATTGCATATTTATTTAAACCCACTGTGAGCTGTTTACGAATAGTCAACAAAGTTTAAGGCATACTAAAAACTTATCTATAACTCGAGTTTCCGTCTCAATTCTATAAACTAGACATTCACTAGTTTCTCATCTTGCACGATTCAAAAGATTTTAAAATTTAGGACCCTTAACGGATACTGCACATTAGGAGCCTGTGTCTCCCCACTCCCCCATATATATATATATATAATGTTTTCCCACGGTTCCTTTACCAATTTTTATGCCTGTCCCGCTTGTGAAGAATCTTGGTGCCTAGCTCTTCTACCACAAACTACGAAATGGGTGCCTGATAAAAAAAAAATGAAATTGGTTGCCAAATTGAATTTACACGTTTACATCAACAAAACCTGATCCGATCATAAAAAATAGGAAGCTTCTTTCTTAGCAGAAGACATTTTAAAAAAACTATGGCAAAAAAAAAATCAAGACATGCGGTTTATTTTATTTATTTCTCTACTCCCCCGAATCTCCCATGCAGTGCCAAGTGCCCGCGAAGTCCGAAAAGCAAATATGGTAACCAGACAGAATCCAGTTCAAAAAATAAATGCCGGATATGATCATGACCCACAAAAAGTTCAAGAGTTGTTGAGCCGTGGGCCAAATAGCCAATCATAACGCCGTCCCTCACGCCTTTTTCTCTATTTCTTTCCACTAAACCAAAAATGAATTAAAAAAACTCATTAAGACAGCAGAAAAAGCCACATGTCCTGCAAACTACACCAGACTGAGTACACCAAACATCAATGCCCTACCCTGGGAACAACGTGTACCTCGGACCCCACAATGTTAACGGCTACATCATCCATCTCCGTTGACGGAACCTGCGCCAAGAGCACATGATAATGTCAGAAAAACCAGCTCCGTCCCGCAGACGGGAACAGTACTAATTCGATGCCGTTGTGTTTGGCGGGAAATGCCATGCGGGCCCCACCACTTGTCCTCACTCGTCCGTCCGTATCGCAAAATCGCTGCCTTAGTCTATGACGTTGACTAGCTAAGAGCTCCAAAGAGTGAGTGGGTGATAGCATCACAATACACACTTCTCCCTGTGGTCCCCCACCTCTCCATCTACGAGTCCGGTGCCCACTTAGAAGCTACCCGTAAAATTGGCCCCAAAATATGGAAAATAAAAAAAGTTGATGCAATGTTTCTTTTTCTATTTTGTTTTTTTTCCTTGGGAGGGAAAGAATCCCGGCGGAGAGATAACAAGTTAACAACCAAGAACTACTACTGTTAAACTTCTGAAATTGAATTAAAAAAAAAAAAAGTTTTTGAAAAAACAAAAAAATGACAAAGTTGAATGGAAAAGTTTGCATTTTGGGGTTATGCCGGAGAAGGTTGAGAGGTGGGATCCGCGGAGGATGGGATATCAGGACCAACTCGGCAACCTTCGAGCATGAAAACGATGTCAGACATGGTTGGTCGATCTAGAGGGTCAGGTGCTGTGCAAAGCAGTCCTACTTTCACACCCAGCAAGAACTCTTCCCACTCTGATGATTCTGGGTCTAACTCAAGCAAACCTGGTTCCAATAGCTCCGTTATTTGACCCCTCTGAAGTTGCCTTTTCACCCACTTCACTATGTCTTCGTCCTGGGTGAACATGACAGGCCGTTTTCCTGTCAGAAGCTCAAGCAACACAATGCCAAAGCTGTAGACATCACACTCCTTCGTGGCTTCCCCCGTTAACACTGCTTCTGGGGACACGTAACCCAACGTGCCAACGGAAGTTGAAGTTGATGCTTCGCCTGGAGTGGCTATTGTTAGCCGGTCTAACCCAAAATCTGATAAATGGGCTTCGAAATCTGCATCGAACAGGACACTTTGTGGCTTCACGTCGCCATGGACCATTGAGGATTGGTGTATGAAGGCTAAGCCACGGGCAATTCCTAGTGCAATGAGGTGTCGCATTGGCCAATTTAGAACGTGGCCATCTTGATGAGAAGCTTCTTGGAGGAGGGTTGCAAGGTTTCCGTTGGGCATGTAATCATAGACTAGGAGTCGCATGTCAGGTGGTCCAGCGTAGTAACCTCTCAGAACTGTTAAATTTCGGTGCTTTACTTTGCCAAGTGATTCAGCTTCTTTTCTAAACATGTTCTCATCCAATGATCCATCTGGGAGCCTGCGAATTGAAAGGACCATTCCATCGTTGTAGCAGGCCTTGAATACTAATCCATACCTTGTTCTGCTCAGCACATTCTCTTCGTCAAATTGTCTTGTTGCTTCAACAGTTTCAGCAAGTGTAATTTTGGTGTTGAACATCACTAGTTTCGGTCCACCATTATCAGTGCTGCCACGGCCTCCACTAGTTCCAGAACTGGCTCTAGCTGGACTCTTTTTCTTCTCCCCGGAAACTCCTTCCTTGAGCCTTTTACGCCATCTCAATAGACTGAAAATGTAGAAGCAGCAAAATAAAGCTAGTATACAAGCTCCACAAGCAATGACAATAACCAGCACAATCAACCTCTTTCTGTCCTTATCATTCACATCTTCACACTTTCTATCCAATGGCTTCCCACATAAACCTTGATTATCTGCGAATACAGATGGGTTGTTGAACCGCGATCCCAAAGTTGGCGGTATCTCACCTTCCAGGTTATTCCCCGAGACATTGAAGTACATCAAACCAGAGATCATAGAAAAATT